CAGTTCTCCTCTGGCCAACGAAGGAACAATGTGATTCGGGTAGCGTTACAAAACAAATTTAATCGAAACATTAAGAATATTTGTCCATCTACATCTGTTTGGAAGTCGAAGTAATCACGCCGGTTTGGAGATGAGATGTTGAGGATCAGTGCCAATGGCTGTCGTGTCGATGAGGATGAGTTGGGATGGGTTCAGGCGCAGGTCCACCATATGGGTCCCTCAGGATAAACAAACACATACTAATATTAGTGTAGACGCCATCCTTCTTAAGATGTACCAAGTAGATCAGGATTTACGGGACGTGTTCCCGGTTCCGGCTGATCTAAACTATGCAACCTAATTTTGAATTCAGGAAGTCTATAGAGTGTTATGTGTATGCTAGGCCAAAGAGATGTGTTTTTAGTCTAAATTTGAACTGACCGAGTGTGTCTGCCTTCCGGACAATGTTAGGAAGATTGATCAACAGTTTTGGTGCTAAAAAGGAAAAGGTCCTCCCGCCTGCAGTCGATTTCGATATTCTAGGTATTATCAACTGGCCGGAATTCCGAGATCGCAATAGACGTGAAGGACTATAATGCGTTAAGAGCTCAAGTACTGTGGAGCTAAACCATTTAGTGCTTTGTAAGTAATCAGCAATATTTTTAAATTTATACGATGTTTAATAGGCAGCCAATGCAGGGTTTGGTCATATTCCTGGTTCTGGTAAGAACTCGAGCGGCTGCGTTTTGAACTAGCTGAAGTTTGTTTATTAAGCGTGCAGGGCAACCACCCAGTAGAACATTATAATAATCTAGCCTTGATGTCATCAACGCATTAACTAATTGTTCCGCATTTGTCAATGAGAGCATATGGCGTAATTTAGATATATTTTTAAGATGGAAAAATGCGGTTTTACAGATACTAGACACATGACTTTTTTAAATGAGAGATTGGTATCAAAGAGCACACTAACCGACGACGAAGACTTAACAGAGCAGCCATCAAGTGTTAAACAGTATTCTAGGCTGTAACGTGTGGAAGTTTTTTGTCCAATAATTAGAATCTCTGTTTTTTCAGAATTTAGTAGTAGGAAATTACGTACTAGTCATCCAATGTTTTATATCAGCTATGCCTTCCGTTAATTTTGTGAATTGGTAAGTTTCGTTAGGTTTTGAAGAAATATGCAGCTGCGTATCATCAGCATAACAGTGAAAGCTAATTCCATGTTTCCTAATGATATCTCCTAATGGCAGCATGTACAGAGTGAATAGCAGCGGTCCTAGTACTGAGCCTTGTGGTACGCCATACTGAACTTGTGATCGATAAGACATCTCTTCATTTACTGCTACAAACTGATAACTGTCAGATAAGCATGTTTTAAACAGTGTTGGGAGTAACGCATTACAAAAGTAATACATTACAGTAACATATTACTTTTTGCTGTAACGCAGTAGTGTAAGGCATTACTAATCAATTTTCAGTAATATTTTACTCGTTACATGTTCAGTGAGGCTTGTATTACATTTGTATTACAGTGAGGCTTGACTTTTAGTTTTAATTGTAAAAAAAAATAAGTTACCTGTTCGTGGTCAGTCAATAGCCACACGTGGTGTCCAAGTTTGTAAATAAAGGCTGATATATCTGTATAGCGAAATGCACATTTCATTTCATAAGCAGAGAACAGTCTGTTTTCTTTCATTTTGAATTGTTCTGTTTACAAGTAGACATTTCAGTATAGATATATTTTTCAGGTCTGTGGAGTAGGCTATACTTATACGCTGAGTTTCGGTATAGCCTATTGGCTATTTATGAGACGCGCACCAGCACACCCCCGCGCCTCATCTAATAGGCTATTGTCTGCTTTTACTTCTTAAAGGCAACAGACTATGTGAAAGTTTTAAAGCAGTCTTTTAGTGCCAGTTCAGAGCGGTCGCGTCTGTAAATTTGTTTTTTTCCTCATAAATGCGAACACGAAAACTAAAATAAAATGAATATTTTAAGTTCTATGGAGACTGGACAGCCAACCCTTCCTCATCCGATTTGCGCAGTGTAATTAACAGAATTACAAAAAATATATTTTGCCTCCTATTTTTTGTCACGCATGAATGTAGTTATATACAGCCACAAAGTTAAGTTCTACTTCTGTAGTTATTTTGGTAAAAGCAACTCAAAAGTAATACATGAGTAATGTAACACATTACAATTCTGAGGCAGTAATATTGTAAGGTAATGAATTACTTTTAAATAACAGTAACAAGTAATACCTGTATTACAGTTTGGAAGTAACTTGCACAACACTGGTTTTAAACCATGCTAATGCAATTCCACAAATGCCAACATTTTTCTAGTCTATTTAAAAGAATGTTGTGGTCAATTGTGTCAAATGCAGCACAAAGATCGAGTAACACTAATAGAGAGATACAACCATGATCAGATGATAAGAGCAAATCATTTGTGACGAGCTGTCACTATGATGTGGTCTAAATCCTGACTGAAAATCCTCGCAGATATCATTTCTTTCAAGAAGGGAACACAGTTGTGAGGATACTGCTTTTTCCAGTATCTTTGACAGAAAAGGTCGATTTGAGATTGGCCTGTAATTGACTAATTCTGTAGGATCAATTTGCGTTTTTTTAACAAGCGGTTTTATCATAGCCAGCTTAAAGGTTTTTGGTACGTATCCTAGCGACAAAGACAAATTAATGATATTAAGAAGAGGATCTATGACCTCTGGAAGCATCTCTTTCAGTAGTTTATTCGGTATAGGGTCTAGCATACAAGTTGTTGATTTAAATGAATTAACGAGTTTGCAAAATTCTTCCTCTCATGGCAGCAAATGAACCAAATTAAAACTTTCTTATTCACTAATGTTATTAATAGAAGTAGCAATTTTAACAAATACATATAATGTTAAAGTTAAATGTTTGCCTGTGGTTTTGCGAGTGTGTTCTGTAAGAAATCAACTTCAGAAAGGAGCCATACACAAGTGCTTTGCCATAACTAACCTCAGATTAGTTTTATATGTTATACAGCACTCTGTGTGTGTTTCCTCAGCATAGAATGCCATTGAGTAAATTCATGTATTTGAGGCAACGACTGAGGGAAACTGAAAATAGGGGGAACTTATTAGTAATTAATAAATAAAATTATTAGATCATTCTTCAGGAATGACTTAAAACCTAGAACAGTATTCTAAAGTGAAAATACAGGGAACCTCTTAATAATTAATAGCCTAAAGAATTATCAAATCATAATCCAGGAATTAGACAACTGATAACCTGAAACAGTATTCTAAAGTGAAAATATAAGTAAATTAATTGTTAATTAATAAAGAATTATTAGATAATTCTTCAGGAATTACAGAACCTGAAATGGTATTCTAAAGTGAAAACATAGGGAACTCATTAGTAATTAATAAAGACTTACCACATACTTCTCAAATCAAACTTACTGTAAAAAAACACTATGTAATGTACATTATGATAAGTTTAGCAAAAGAAATAAAGTTATTTGCAGATCAATATATCCTATAGGTAAATGTCTGCACTTATCTTTCTTACTAGAGCTGAAGAATGACTAAAACTTATAACTTTTAAAGTACTTTAAACATGAATTACCTTTGTACTTTTACTAAGGTAGTTTTGAAATTGAACAGGCCTAATAATAATTTTACTGGAGTAATAATTTATTGTGACGGTATCTATACTTTTACTCAAGTACTTGATTTGTGTACTTCATTCACGACTCCACTGGTGTAATAATAAAATGGATTATTGTAATAACTACTGTGTATGACTGTTCATTAGTAGATACTTCATAGTTATTTTTCTTGAACCATAATTACTTCTTCAGAAGGTATGACAGAATTAATTAGTTATTGATTAACTAACTGATACTTAACAGTTAGTTAACACATCTTCCTTAGTAGTTAACAGTAGTGACAGTAAGATACAGTATTCTAAAGTGTTACCACATGTAATGTGTAACAAGGACACTAAAATAAAGTGTTACCCAACTTTAATAATCTATAACTAAAATGTTGAAATTAATATTAACTTTGACTAATAAATGATTTAAAAGTATTTTTCATTGTTAGTTCATGTTAACTAATTAAAACGTATTGTGAAGTGTTACCAAAGCAACAAGCCTAGCATCTTTCACTGTAAAATGATATCTAGCAATTGTAATCACAAAAAGCCATTTCTGCCTGATCTTTCCCTTACATTTAGATTTGTTGGTGTAACCTAATATATTTAGGTTAATTCAGTAATGTTAAAGTCCCTCTGTGGTGAAAATCTAACTTTTAATGTTGTTTATATATTGGTGTTTGTAATATGCTTTAAGACAAACCATGTGCAAATTCGTAAGTCCACCATTGCTGAGTATTTTCATCTATAAAACAGTGAACTAAAGAGTTTCAAAACACAGTTTGAAATCGGTGGTGTTTCTGACGTCACAAACTACCTTGTATCCAATCACGTCAACCTATGATCGTCAATGTCAACGAGTGGATCTCTGAGCTGGTGTGAGTGAGTGGAGGCAGGGCTAATTTGCATATTCATAGAACCTTGTATACTAAATAAGGCAAGGGCGTAGAGTTACATTCAAACTATTTTAAGGCATGAAGACATTTTTTAACAAGGAAAAATGTTCAAATATGTCATTTTGGTGATCAAAGATGAGTTTGAAGGGATCAAATTATGGACTACAGGGGGACTTCACATAACATATTAAACAAATCTTAATTTAGGTTAAGATTACCAGAGCACAAGGTTACCAGACCACGTCTGTAGCAGTTGTAGTATAACGCTATTGTGAGCAGAAAGCATCTTTCCCCATTGATGACCATTCAAAAATAACCATGCATTTAAACTAAATACATTTTCCAACCAACGTGTAAAAAAATAAATAAAATAAAAATAGAAAAAAAAAACAGGTTTTAACCAAGTGCAAATTTCCAAACATCCCAAAATGAACAGAGACAGAAATGCTTTCTCATGATAAAAAGAACACAACCCATGTGAATGGTCTTATATTCTCTCTTTAATGGCATCAGATATTGATGACAGCATTTTAATACAGCAGAACTCTGTTCTAGACAGACATAATATATCTAAGAGGGCATCATAAAAGACACAAGGTCATTACCATAAAAAGAAATAAATACAAATCAACATCAATCCAAAAATCTGAGCTCTTAAATAACGTATAAGCATACAATAATTGAATCAACATCAGTGTCAAAAACAGAATCAAAAACAACAGTGATATGCACATGACAGAAGAATAACCTTCAACAAATCATTTGCATGACTGCAACAGATTCACATTTCAATTTCATGAGTGCTTAGCACTGTACTCTCTCAATGTATCGAAAATCAATTTATGAATGTACCTCTTGTTAAAAAGAAATGCAGCACAAAACGAGAGCATCATCTATTAGAAAGATGTCATAAAGTTGTCAGAGTCGTTGCTGCCAGCTGAACACAGTGATGCACTGATCTCACTTTTATGCCGTTATCATTTTCTACGTTGGTGCATTGAAGAAACTTGCCAGTTAATTTCTTTTATTGAATATGACATTGTTTTCTTGAAGAACAACCTCAGAGTTGAAGCAACTGAGAGGATGGACTGTGCATGATCAGCTTGGATAAATGTATGAGGTTTAAAAATGACCAACTCTAACCTGGTTTATTTCCTGAAAGTTCCTCCAATGGTCAATGGGAGGAAAGGAAAATGACACTTGAAAATGGTGGAGCCTAAACATATGAAAACAAGGCAAGAAGAGTAATGTGACTAAGCCATGAGACTGACATCTATTATGCTGCAGCAGCAGCAGGTGTAGCTTAACGTACTAAACACACAACAGTTTGCGATAGACAGTCACTTAAGGCTACCGTATGAAATACAGCATACAGGACTAAAGCCTCCATTGTGCACTACAGAGGACCAATATGATAAAATACAACATTACATGTAATACATATGTGTTTGGTGACATTGAGCTTATGAAAGAACTGAGCAGATATGTAGTCTGTATCTACTGCATCTACCCAGTGCAGTCAACATTTCCACTTCAAGTTCATGCTTGATATGTAAATGCGTGTGAAGAAATTGAACTAGCGCTTGCGTGGAGCACATTTACTGTAGCTTAGCTTGAATTTCTAATGTTCAGGACTTGTGTAACCTCATACTGTAATTAATAATCCTTCGGTATTACACCCAAACAAGAGCCATTCCGTTAAGTCTCCACTTTTCCGAAAGTGCCATCGGGAGGTCTGTAATACTTAGGGAAGGCCTTCAGCTGTAGACAGTTAAAGGCATACTTGCGACATCCAATGTTCTTCGTGGTGTTCTCACGGCGGCAGCCCTCACTGGCAGGGGAATGGGGCGGGATTGAGTGTGTAAAAACAAGTAGAAAACAAACAGAACATGAAGCCATGTTTTGAAAAATCACAAGCAAAAATTATCACAGCCACAAATGATGGCAGCAGACATATCAGAAGTGTTATGAGCATGAGTGTTATGGGTGAACAGAGCATGAGGGTGGCCACCATCAAAAAAGCAGCATAAACAAACCACGTCACAATACAGTTCATACAAGCTGAAAATACTAATGCAACATCCCTCAGGGGATAAGAAGGCGGGTCACTAAAAGTTCTTGAGGACTTTCTTTTAGGTATCACATAGGAAGTCAATGCCCTGAAGCAAACTTGACGACATGTAAAGAAATATTTAGGAGCAGCATGCTACATTGGCTGTGTATTAAGGGTATGGTAAACAATTATTTATGTAAAAAAAATAAATAAATACATTCGATCAGGGCAACTATTACACATGTCCCTCGTATTGTGATTCCAAAAATTCAATTTCACAACCGTCTTTTATATATACAATTATTGCTACTTGCAAAAATGTGCTTACAAATAAATATCATAAAAATTCAATGAGTCAACAGTTGCAATGTAAATAATATCAGTAAGCATGATATGGTACAATTTACTTTAAGTGCAGGCCACTGTCAAACTGTTCAATTAGAAATGAAAGATCGGTGCAACCTGTCATGCTCATGTCGTTCCAAATTATTTGACTAACTAGGCCCTATTTTAACGATTTTAATTTTTGCTAGTTTAACACAGGACTAAAAGGGTTGTCCCTCTTCTCTTATTGAGTAATGGGTGCCTTTTGTGTGTAACGTGCAATAAACCAATCAGAGTCTCATCTTCCATTCCCTTTAAAAGGGAATGCTCATGCCATGGCGGATTCGCTATTTAGATGGCGGAATTTGCAAGCAGAAAGACTGAATGCTTCTCCAGAGTGGAAACGGATCTGATCTGCCGAATTCCACCATCTTTAAGTCTTTAAGTACATTATAATAATCTTTTACATCCTTTTATTTTTTATATTTGGCATGTTTGTGTGCTGCTGTGCGTACCTGTGTGTGTAATAAGCAGAATGTACGCACGCTGTGACCTGCCTATAGGCGCACATTACCAACGCACTCTTTAAAACAAACAAATAAATAAATACTGTGATATTGACTGTTTTTGTTGGTCAATGGTGCAGTCTATTTCAGTTGCCTCGAAATAGCAACGCGCCAACAATGCGGCTGAACACACCTCATTTTCAGACAGCACGCCCATGGGCACAAAAATGGGTGCAAATGCATTTGCTATTTAAACAAGGGCGTGGAAATGATAACTACGTCAGGCTGAAACTAGCAACAAACACTGCATTGCACCGGGTGCATGATAGGGCTCACTTTCTTCCATGGAACTTATGATAAATGTTCCATAAAAGTAAATTGGCAGTAGAGGCTATAAAGCTCTGAAAAAAGCACCATAAGAGTAGTCTATATGACTTGTCAACTCTTAAGGCCTGGGTATACTGCATCTTCTGCGTTCTGTTACGTCTCACGGACAGACGTGTCCACACCTTTCAAGTATACATGCGCAGGACAATATATATATATAACAGACGTCAGAGGGCAGCAATGAGTCGTGTCATTTATAGGACTTCCAATCGGAAGGATAGAAGTAGCATATCCGCCATTGCATGCGAAGTTTAGAACAGGAACCAAAACAAACGTCTTGCCAGCTACTTCTGTCTGAACATTTACCTTGCATTGACATGTCCACACAGTGACTTATCCTTGATGGAAATTACATTATACGGACAGTGACCGGACCATAGCGGAAAGCGGATGGCTGAAGTGTACTTTGGGCTTAAAGGGTTATTCATCCAAAAATTGTAATTCTATCCACGTTTTCACCGCAATTACCAGGAACTGTTTGTCCCAGGAAGTTTTTTCATAGGAACTTTTTTTTTTTGCCCCGGTAGCTTACTGCGTTTACACCGAGGACTAAAGTACCGGGAAGATTATGTAAATTAGTCTGGTGACATTGAACTGGGTGCGACTGCTCCACCCAGTCTGTGTGTTTTGAGTTTTGAGTGCATTTTGAGTTAAGTATGGAGGAGATTCAAGCTTTTGTGTGCGATCTATTGGTTTACTAACGAAGTAATTAACAAAACGGCAGAAAAGAGATGAGCACTAATACTAAAGCGTATTGAGAAAGCTCGTAATGCTAGATATAAAAGTAGACAACGTTTGTTATCAGCTATAGCGGACATTGAAAGTGAGATGGATGGGACGAACGCGCGCCTTTGGGTAGAAAGAACAAGATTGGTAAGAACCAAAAAGCTAAACCAATCAGCATGTTCAGTGTACAAGTCCCACCCCGAAAGTTTCTGAACTCTGAAAAAGTACTACCTCGCCTAAGTACTATGTTTACCCGGAACTTCATATAGACCTTGGTTCCTGCGGTGTAAACACACCGAGTACCACCCCAAAATTCCTAGTTCCTGGGGAAAGTTCCTGCGGTGGAAATGCGACTTCTGTCTATGGAAGTCAATGACTACCGAAATCAATGGCTATAGTCAACTGTCTGGTTATCAACATTCTTCAAAATATTTTATTCTGTAGTCAATGTACATGACAGAACTTTACTTTTTGGGTGAACTATCCCTTTAAGTCTTCTAAACATCTATACAACAGCTTTGTGTGATAAACAGAATGAAATTTAAGTTGTTCAATGAAAAATCGCATGAGAAATATATATATCCAATATATTATTTGGGCTATATATCCAAACTATAGATTGGACAGTTTGCTAAATATCTCCTTTAAAGTTTCACTGAAGAAAGAAACATACAAAGGAGAGTAAATAATCACAGAATTCCAATTATGGGTGAATTCACCACCATGTGTTCATGAATATCCATTCTAATAACTTCCAAATCAAACTGTTCCTCGCTATGGAGAGACCTTTTAGTTTTTGACTAAATGAGCATGTATGCTGCTCAATTATGCTTTAAGTGTAAAACGAGGTAGAACTAAGAAATCTATTTTGATCTTTGAGTAAAAGGTTATATTTGTCAAATATTGATTCAAAATATTGAAATAATATTTAAAAATGTACAAATGTTTTAAGAGGAAGCATAAAAACAACACAGCATATTATCTTTATAAAATATGATTCTCTGAGCACGCAAGCCCAATAAATCAAAAGAGCTGTGCTCTGAGCATATTTATTAATCAAGCAAATTCATTAAATCAGTTCAAAAAACTATTCCCTAATCTAAGATACTCATTAAAAAACAATTCCCAAAACGTTCACCAATGCAGCTTCAAACCTAGAACTGATTTTAGGGCTGTACAATCAATGTATTTTTAATTTATTTTTTTATTATAAGTGTGATTTGGAGGCATTTAAGTCTATAGGCCAATCAGTGATGACAACAGATCCTAATGAACAAGTTATTTGTGTGTTATTTGCAGAAAGCACATGAACCAAGGCAAAAAACACAGTTGATAATTTGCAATTATTTGGATGGATGTTGCGCAGCTTGCTCGTAATGTAGACAGAGTAACATCAAATTTACACTGCAAGCTGTATGCAATAACATGCAGCTGTTTTAATATAAATATAAATAAGAGATTAATATAAAAGTGATAAAATAAAAAAAAATATTAATACAACTAATAATACAATAATTAAAATGACAATATCAAGGGAAATAATCTATAATTTTATTTTTTTCATAATCATGCAGCCCTACTTAAAACCAACGATCAAACTTTAAAGCTATCAAACTTAACCTGAGACCTATCCTTAAATTCTACTAGTTAAAGCCTACCATTGACATTCATTCATCCAAACCTGCAGTATCTTAGACTGTCACTGTCTAAACACACTTCAAAATCAGTCAGCAAAACCTTTCTCCAACTTACTGTAGTAACATTATCCATAATATCCAACATGATTTAAAACAAAGAGGAAAAAGTCTGGAAGTCATCTCTGACTTTAAGCAAACTGAGCAAAACATAGACTCACAGAGCCGCAACATCATTACAAATTAACCCCTCAATTTCTTTAGTGGGCCAGTTGAAAGCCTGGTAAAGGTAATTTTTTTGAATTTTTTCTTGTAACGGGAAGCTCTTTAGAGCATGTAAACTCAAGCAGTGCTAACTTGTAAACAGCAGATGTACTGGCCGTGGCATGTGGCCAGACCAATTTTACAAAGCACAGAGAGGCCATTTCGATTTTGGCACAGAGGGAAGCACGATTAATCTGGGAATCCTTTAAAATGATGTAATTTCTAACCATTATGGTAAATATTTACATATAAAATATTTATTTACATATAAATAAGGGAAGAATTTTGACGATTTGCAGCCTACGTCATGATTAGTTTTGGCAAAAGAACACATCATCTCCATTAGTCCTGCATAAGGACACTTTACTTAAAGCAACACATGGATGCTCTAGTCATCTAAACACATACATCTTAAAAGGACTGTTTCAGGTTCAATCCAAGCTAAAATGAATCTGACGCCATCTTTCAAACATTGATTATACGTCTCTCAATTTGTAAAAAGAAGCAGTCGAAGCAAGAAGCAATTCAAAATTGCGTACAGTTTTTTAATGTTAGTGCCTAACACCATAGACTTTTATTGTTAGTCCATTAATGTTAAGAAGGTTTTGTTTGTTTTTACAAATTGAGTGAAAATTGCCTGTGGTAATCGTTCGCATGCCTCAGATGCGTTTAAAAAAAAAACTTGTGTGAACCCGGAACATTCCTTTACACAAAATTCCCTTCAAACCTGTTAGCTTCCTGTTAGCTGACAGTGAAAAAGTAATTCTCAAGTGCATATTTATATTTCCCTGACTGAAAATACAATCTTATATGGCCAAATTGAACAGTTTCATTGGAAAGGCTGCAAACAGGTTAGTGCAGACCAAACATGGTAAAAGAACCAAATGTTATCTTCCTGCAAAACATGGGAAGACACTGACACACTCGACACCCTAAA